GAATGAATTAGAGGCTGGGGGTATGGATCTTTCCCACTCAGATATGATGTTTTTATAAAGATAGTGTTGGTATTAAAGTCAGGAATAACCTTCTCATCTCTTGGATATTTTCCTAAACAGGAGAAAACACTTCCTGTTATATTCCTTATCATCACACACCATTTTCTGAGTGTCAGCAGACTGGCTCCGTAACTGACAGAGACGGGAATCAGGTTACCTTATTATTAGGGTCATACTGATGGCTGAGATTCTGGTTTGGCTTAGTAGTAACTTAACGCCAACCTGACAGACACATGACAGACCCGTGCTGGGTGACGGGTTCTGCCAGTTTCAAGACAGTGTGAAATTCAGCCAGATGTTGAACTTCACAAGCCTCGGTTTCCTCATCCATAAAATGGGTTAATAATACTTACATTGCTGAGTTGTTGGGAAGATCCGAGAAAATAATTCTGGGAAGATAGCCAACACAGAGCATGGCACCCCGCAGCCCTTGTTCTGGCCCCCGGGCTTTAGAGAACCCCTCCCCCCAACTTCATCCCAGCCCTTCTCCAGCTCTACCACTTGTCAAGCACACAGCTTTCCTTTCTAGGTCAGTGGCTCCAAACCAGGAGCGATTTTGTCCCTAAGGAGATATTTGGCTATGTCAGGGGATTGTTTTGGTTGTTACGATTTGGGGGGCAGGGGTGCTAATTGCATTTAGTAGGTAGAGGCCACAGATGCTGCTAAACATCCTGTCATGCCCAGAAAAACCTCTTCCTTACCTGCCATGAGGATGACTTATCCAGGGCCAAGTGCCGATAATCCCAAGCTTGAGAAACCTTGCTCTAGATTCCTAGGACCCTGAAATTCTCTCCCTAAACAGCTCACTTCCAGGGTCTGTGCCTCACCTAGCTAAAAGAGGGGGCTGTTTGAGAGGGATATGGGCAAAATATGGATGTGTGGGATGGAGCGCCCACACAGGCTTGTCCACATCACCCTGTTTCAGTGTGCAAGTCGGGGGTCTCAGCATTCTAAACTGGAACCTGGGGGTGTCTGGGTGGCTCAGTCATTAAACGTCTGCCTTCAGCTCAGGTCATGATCCCAGGGTACTCAGCGGGAGGCCTGCTTCTTCCTCTCTCACTCCCCCTGCTTTTGTTCCTTCTCTCACGGTGTCTTTGTCAAATAATAAGCAATAATTGAAAAAAAACAAAAAACAAAAAACAAATGGGAACCTGGCCTTCTAGGTCATTTCAAAGGTATTATTCTTCAAGGTCAGAGAATAAAATCTCTTTAATTTAACAGTTTGTAAGCTTGATCTATAACTTTAAATATTTACACATGTAATACAGGGGCCTTTGTTTGTGCTCTTGCTCTGGGCCCCACAAATTTTGGGATGGGTGTGCCAGTGAGACTTCCAAAGGGGCAACATTCCCTCTCCATGCCTGGGGTCGCCCGGTCTCCACCCTTCAGGCTCCGTTTTAATAATTCACCTTTACGAAGGCAGATGCTGCCTGGATGGCTCTCCTTCCATGTGCCCCATGTGCTGAGTCTCTGCACATTTCTTTCGATTGCCGGTTTGTTCCAGTGTTTGTGATCCTTTTTTTGTAGCTGAAATATTTATGGTGACCATTCTCTCCATGACCTCTTTTCCTGAGAACTTCACTTGAACGCAGGCATGGGCCTCTGACAGACGTGTTAGTATCATCTGATCCAAGCAAAGGCCTTCGGGATCCTTTCCAGGGAATCGTTTTCTGCAAATGGCTGTACGTCAGTGCTGTAAATGGACAGCCATTGCCCACCATGAAGAAAGGCAGCAGGCAGAGAAAGGAAAAGGCTGAAAGAGACAGAGAGAGGACTGCCTGGGTTCTTGCTGCTTTTCCAGCCTTGGAAAGATGTCTGGAATGTCTGGAAAGATGCCTCAGTTTCTTCTATGAAATTATCTTGTTTGCTTAAACTGGATTGCATTAGTTTCTGTTACATGTAACCATGAGGGCCTCAACTAAGACCCCACCTTTCAAATCCATCTTTTGGTAGCTTGCCCTAAGTTTCTGTGTTTTACTTGCACAAATCTGGCCTTGTTCTTGCCAGTCTACTGACTGGCTGTGTGGAGGGTGGAGCCCATTGCTGGATGTCAAATTTTGCCTGTCCCTTTTTATCATTTATAGATGGGGATTGACTCCCAGGAGCTGTCCAACATCAGTGGATTGATTTAGAGTCTCTCTCCTAGTTGCAAGAAACAAGTCCGTTAGGCCATGTCCTTCAGTGTGGGGCTCCCTCTCCTCTGGTTTTCAGCCTAAAGTCCAGTCTACATGCTTCCAGGTAAAACTTCCTAAGCAAATGGATAATGCACTTGCAAAATTTATGAACGATAGATAAGGAAATAAATTTTCATCTGGACATGTGCAGTTTATTGAATGTAATCTCGGATCCTTACCATTGTGGAAGAGCTGATAGGTGAATATTCAAGTGAATATTAAGATAGCACTGGAGGGGGAAGCTCGGAGAAGGGGGGTGGAGTTGTGGTTGGAGCATGCGTGCTTGCGAGTGAGTCAAACTCCTTTTCGAGGTCTTTATGTATGTTTTCTCACTTCTTCCTCATTATAACTACATGTTGTAGGTATTATTTATTACCTCCACTTTTACAGATAAGAAAACTGAAGCCCTTGTTAATGATGAATGTGAAGTTTGAATTCAGGTCTCTCTGATTCCACAGGTATGAGGGTAGCAGTAAGGAACCTAGGTTGGGAAATACAGGAACCAGTGGTTTTCTTGTAAAAGAGAAATTTTGGGAAGGATTCTTTCTTTCTTTCTTTCTTTCTTTCTTTCTTTCTTTCTTTCTTTCTTTCTTTCTTTCAACTATTTGTGTTATACAAAAAATGGGTTCTGAGAAATCAAGTAGGAGTTCTGTTATGTTACATAACAATCTGAGACACTTCTTATTTCTCTCCGTCTCTGTTCACCTGAGGATTTAGGTCAACTTCCGCAAGAAGCTCTTGGTTCATTAGTTCAGCCAAATTTTTGTTAAGGGCAAAAAAGGTCAGAATGGCTTTTAGGTGTAGAATAGTTCAGACAGTTAAGTGACTGGACTGCTCACTCCTTCTTCTGCTCTTTTTTTTTTTTTTTAGATTTTATTTATTTATTTGAGAAAGAGAGAGAGAGAGCAAGTGAGAGCACAGGAGCAAGGGGAGGGAGAAACAGACAGGGAACAGGGAGCCCAGGACCTGGGAATCATGACCTGAGCTGGAGGCAGCTGCTTAATAGACTGAGCCTCCCAGGACCCCTTTCCCTTCTCTTCTTGCTGAGCTTCTTTTAGTTTCACCCCTGGAGTTTGCCATGTTTTTATTTTTATCCATGTCATTCAATCAATGTCTGTCAGTTTATTTGGATGGATTTTTCTGAAGTTTGCTTTTGTATAGACTCAAGATAGCTGTCTGGCTAATCTGATCATCTATGCTAATATTATTAAGATGACTAACAACAACAAAAAGCAAATTCCAAAAATCAAGTCCTTGACATCCTAAACATTCTATTTATATATTTCCAGGCTTAGCCTGGCAGTAATTTTAAATTCAAGAACTAAACCCAATTATAGATCTGCATACAAAAAGGATGTTTATATTTTTTGTAAGTTTATCATGATCCAGAGAATTTGATGCCAACAGTTTTTCTGAGTTTGGTCTAATGCAAATTTTATTTGTGAAATTCCTAGTCTAATGGACATATCCAGGTCCAGGATTATTCAAACAGGACAGTCTTACTATAACTGTTGAGTAATTTAGATTTTTTTTTTTAAATTACTTTGCCATGTATTTTAATCAATAGCCAGCAGAATTCTACAGGTTATAGGAGAAAAATAAAGGACTAATTAAAGACCCATGTCCACAGTAGAAAAAAAATGATGAATCTTTTCATCACTCAGCAGTCTGGGATACTCCAAATACATTGTCCCCCCCCCCCCTTGGAGTTATTTATTGGCCAGAGGGGAGGGTGGACAGAACTTCTTTGAAGTTAAACATCTTGCTTGGATGAGCAGATATGTTGCATCAAATCAAAGTAATAAAAAGACAAAATGCTTTATTAAATCTTCTTTATCACTATATTGTGCTCCAATAGGATGATCTAATTAAAGGCAACGTTAAGCCTCTTTTCATCTGAAGAAGAGTTCAGAAGCTTTCATTATTACAAGGCTTGCACAGAAAAGAATACATTGTTGTATTGCTTCCAAGTTTCTTAGGGGTGCCTCCTTTCTGTTTTGCTCTAATTGTTATGGATGTCTTGGCTGCCACTTCATGGCTTGATGCTAATTAGTCCTTTTCATCTTCAAAGCACCTATATGACATTAACATGACTAACATTCATAATACCACTCTGAGGTAGGCACTGGAAGCCCTATATTCTTTTTGGATATGGAAACAAAAGAAAATAATTTAAAGTGGTATTTATTTGGATGTTGATGAGCACTTTGCTTTCTGGCTCTGAGCTCCCAAATGCCTCAGGGGGCTTCTTTCTTACCTTTGTGTCTCTCCCTGCCCAGCTCTGTCAGATGCTGCCAATTCATTCTGCATAACATGAGATTTCTTCAAGTAATCTCTCTAACCACCATTATCAGCTTGAGAAAAATGTACACCAATCAGGGAGAACTCAATTAGTGGTGGCCCGTCAGTTGGAGTCTCTCTAGGTCGCTTGATTTAACAAGTGTTCACGAGATACTGATTCATGTTTTAATTTAATCCTTCTATAATACACAATATCATTCTTGCATAAAAGTTCATTTAGGTTGGATTAAACGGAATCCAAAACCAGCAGCTGATGCAGATCTTAATTGGCCAAATTGTTTCATAATTTTCATTTTTTTAAAAAAGATTTTATTTATTTATTTGACAGACAGAGATCACAAGTAGGCAGAGAGGCAGGCAGAGAGAGAGGAAGGGAAGCAGGCTCTCTGCTGAGCAGAGAGTCCGATGCGGGGCTCAATCCCGGAACCTGGGATCATGACCTGAGCCGAAGGCAGAGGCTTTAACCCACTGAACCACCCAGCCGCCCCCATAATTTTCATTTTTGAATTTGCAAATTTTTGTGGTGAATTTTGTGCTTCCAAGATCATCATAGACCCCAATGACCTCCATTGCTTTCCCCAGAGTTGAAACTGTGTGATTTCTATTACTTGCCTAACTGGTGAAGACATTTGAGTTTACTGACTAAACAGAGAAGGGAAAGATTGTCTTTTTTCCCAAAATGAAGGCAAATTTGGGAAGTTGGCAAAATGGGTAAACTGCTGAATTTCTTGGCTATCACATCACCCCTGCCCAAAGATGATCTCTCTCCTTTCCCCGTCGAATTCTTATTCATTTATTTCATTTAGCATTCTCAGGGGAAAATAATCTAATAAAGGAATCCACATGGAGTTGTAAATGACTGACACCAGTTTGATGTTTTACCCCTCTAGAGCTACTGAGAGTTTTAAAGAGGATAGTAACCACACCTCCATCTCTGGTCATTGCCAAACCAAGAGAAGTGTTTTTTTTTTTTTTGTTTTGTTTTTTTTAAAATAACAGCATGATAGAATCTCTCAAGTCACATTATATACTTGTGATTGTTGGCTTTTATTCATATGTATATATGTATATATAAGATATGTCATGTGTATATATAAGATATGTCCTACCCAAAAGCCTATAGTTTTTTTTTTAATATTCAGATTTCTATGTCAGAATCTTAAACATTGGAAGAAATCAACAAGGAAATGTTGAAAAGTAAATCTAAGACATTGCTTATTATTTAGGCTTCTCCCTCTAGTAAAGCGAGAACAGGAAGAGAATGTTCTGGAGCAGAAGTTGCAACGAAAACCAGGCAGACTCTCTTACGTTTTTATTTCCTTTCTGAATTTGATGCTGACCTGCCTGACTCTGAAAGTTTCAGACATAGGTAGTAGGGATTTCCAGCGATGATGAAAGATCTTGGACAGAGGAGTCAGTTGGGTAATGGCCACATTTAGTGAGAAATAGGAAACATTCCAGTTGGGACCTATTCCAGAATGGACCTGCAGTCCTGGGAGGTGAAAGCCTGGAGCACAGCCTGACTGTATCACTCTCCCGTGTCTTCTGTAGCTTCACTTTGCACTCTATCTTGACCTTAATTGAATTAACTCAACCTATGTCCTTGCAGGACCAGGCAGTGCAGAAGCAAATCATTTCCTGAGACGTGTACATCTCAGTTCATTCCTTTGGCCTTCCACTTTTAATTTTTACAGGTTCTCAGCTTTTGCTTAACAGTAACTTGTGATCAAGGTTAAATTAAAGTTTTTTTTTTATTGTTGGTGACATTTTCGCAACTAATTTGAACTTAGGTCTCTTTGAGGAGAAATACTTAAAGAAATAACATCAAATTGCATGGTGTAAATGCCATGCCATTCTATTATGTAAATAGCAACTGAGATGTTTCATTGAAAATAAAACACTGGTAAAATGTAAACGTCATTCTTATTCCAGTTGCTTCAGTGGCACGAATGAATTCACTAACTGATGGTGAAAGTTAAAATTTGTAATAGGGTCCGATAACTCCAATGTGTCTGGAAATCTTTTTAGCAACTGCTATCTATATTCTTCAATAATTCTCAGTCCACTTTTCAAAACACATTCATTTGTTGTCGTAAATATTGGCTGTTCGAGACCTACCACACTGGCATTTTAATGGGCAATTCAGTGTACTGTTGTGAGTTTTGTTTTCTTCTGTCACTTATCTCAACTGACTTCTCTCATTGTCTCAAGCCACTAGAAATACACTGGGCATGCCAAAGCATCAAATGATTAATGCTTTGAATTTGCTTATTTTTTTTATGTAGCTGGAACTCTATTGTCCAGAGCACTCCAAGCAAAGCCCTCACAGATCATATCTTGCCAAGCATATTATTGGAGGAAACATACATGCTTGGTTATAGGATAAGGAATGTAACCTTGGAGAGAGCTGAGTATCACTACTTTTTGGAGACGGTCCTTTATTCCAGATTTATGGACTCTAATATGTGAAGATGAAATCATAACAACTTTTGATCCAAAATTTGATGGAGGATATTTTCAACGATCCCAGCCAATTGTGTATTTCATCTTTAAATTAATTAGTGGGACTACATTAAAATAAAAAGCTTTTGCACAGTGGAGTAAATGATCAACAGAACAAAGAGGCAGCTAACTGAATGGGAGAAACCCTGGTGCACTGTTGGGAATGTATATTAGTGCAACCACTATGGAATACAGTATGGAGGGTCCTCAAAAAAATAAAAAATAGAAATATTATATGATCCAATAATTCCACTACTATTTACTTAAAGAAAAGAAACAAATCAATTCAAAGAGATATGTGCAACCATATGTTTATTGCAGTATTATTTATGATAGCCAAGATATGGAAGCCACCCAAATATCCACTGGTAGATGAATGGATAAAAAAGATGTGGTATATATACACACAATGAAATATTACTCAGCCATAAAAAAGAATGAAATCTTGCCAGTTACAGCAACATGGATGGGCCTAGAGGATATTATGCTAGTGAAATAAGTCAGATGGAGAAAAAGAAGTACATATGATTTCACTTATATGTGAACTCTTAGGGCCAAATGGACAAAGAAACAAAAAATAGAAGTAGCCTTGTTAGTGCAGAGAACAAAATGGTATTTGCCAGAGAGGACGGGGTTGGGGGTTGGACAAAAGGGGATTAAGAAGTAGAAACTTCTAGTTATAAAATAAACAAATCATAGGGATGAAAAGTACAGCATAGGGAATACGGTCAATAATATTGTAATAACATTGTATCACGGTGGATGGTGACTATACTTGTTCTGAGCACTGTGTAATGTATGAAATTGTTGAATCACTAATATAACTGAAACTAATATAACACTGTATGTCAATTATACTTTAAAACTAAAAATTAAAAAAAATAAATTAATGGAAGAACTTCCATTACCTTTCTCTAATAACTGTATTGAGAAAGAAATTACAACTTAACTATTAAGAATATAGTCTTTGAGGCCACACCTACTGGGTTAGTTGTGAGACCCTGGGCAAGTTACTTAACTGTTCTATCCTTCAGCTTTCTTATCTGTAAAATGGGTATAAAAATAATAACTGTTCATTAGGTTGTTGTAAGGATTAAATGAAGTAACATATGTAAAGTAGAACAGGGCTTAGCATAGTGCTATATGACTGTAGTTATTATTCATTTAATTAGTAAACATTTATTAAGAGCTTTTATTATTTAGGATCTATTAATACACATCAACTTTCTATATTGTTATTATCTTTTATGGAAAATGATTATTTTATTTTACTGATTTATTTTATTTTATTATTTTTTCCAGCTTTATTGAGGTGTGACTGAAAAATACAAATTATATATATTTAGGTTGTACAGTGTGTTTTTTAAAAAAGTTGTGCAACATGATGATTTAATGTACATATATATTGTGAAATGTTTACCATAGTTGAGTTAATTAACATATTAATTATCTCACACAGTTACTATTTTTGTGTGTGTGTATGGTGAGAAAATTTAAGATTTACTCTTCTAGCAGATTTCAAGTATACAATACAGCATCGTTAACTATAATCACCATGCTGTACACTGCATTCCCATAACTTATTTATCCATCTTACAAATGAAAGTTTGTACCCTTTACCAACATTTCCCCATTTCCCCTGCCTCACAGAGAAATAATTCTTTAAGGAAGTAAATCTGATTAGAGATTCTCTCTGCTTTATTCCCCACAGTGAATGTCAGGTTTCGAAGAGTTAAAGCCTAATGAAAATGTGCTCATATCTGGTAAAATTCTTGGTATGAACACTTCTTCTTTCATTTAAAGGGCAGCATCTGGACTTTAGTAAGCAAATATGCAATAAAATATTATTTTGACCTTTTAAAAAGTTGATCTCTATTTTATTCAAATGGTAAAAATATTCCAAAGAGTAAACTTCTACATTGGATGGTGTTTTGCTATTATTTAGTGAAATGTTTATGTACAAATCATGCTTTTACATTCCATATTTTGTACAAAGAAAAGGAGAGCATAAGCTGACAGAATTACCTAAGGTAAAAAAAAAAAAAAATTAGAGCTCTGACTTAGGCTCACCAAACGTGGGAATCCAATTTGAAAATACCCTTTTTAGTTGAGGAATGGCTGAATTTTGCTAGAGTAAGGGTCAAATATCTTAGGGTAGATTATTTTGCTCCGTGTTACAGCCAAGTCTCTCTCTCTCTCTGACCGGTGTCAAGCAAAACCCGGAGATAATTTTATAAGCTCACTCACCACAGCAAAGACGTTGTTTCTCACTTGAGACATTTAATTTCTAAAGCTCAACATGGACTTTGTCAGAAATAGAAAATTATTTCCCGAATGCAAAGGCTTTTAAAAAACAAATCAGGGATGCCTGGGAGGCTCAGTGGTTAAGCATCTGCCTTTGGCTTAGGTCGTGGTTCCAGGGCTCCTTGCTCAGCTGAAAGCCTGCTTCTCCCTTGCCTGCTCTGCTCTGCCTGCTGCTTCCCCTGCTTGTACTCTCTCTCTCTCATTGACAAATAAATAAAATCTTAAAAAAAATAAAAAAACAAATCAGACTAGCGCTTTTATAGGATATCTCTGGGGTGTGTGTGTGTGTGTGTGTCCTACTTTCCTTTTATTAGTCTCCAATCGCCTTTTGGTGAAGCCTAACAGTGTGGAGTCCTTCGGAGCCGAACAACAGGGGAAAGGGGCCAAACCTTCTCTCTTCTTCCTCTCCGGAGGTAGCCATGAGATTTGGGCAATCAGACATTGTCTTCTGGGGCTTTGGATCTTGAGCAGGTGAGTAAGCAAGCAAGGACAGATGGAGACACATTCTGGCAGGGATGATAGGATTGGGGCTGCTGGCCCTGCCAGCCTGCTCCTTGGGTTCCGGCTGCCCAGCTCTGTTGGACCCCTGGGCTTCTGACCCTTCTCCCAGACTGGTCCTCCAGCCTTCTCTCAGTTTTGCAAGCCTCGATATACTTCCATTCACTCTCCTTCTCCACAGGTGGTTTTTTTTCCCCCTTATGATAATCAGAGGTTTCTATTTCATAAACAAGAACTTTCATTGATGCAACAAGCTTCCTAGCCTGGTTGGAAATAAATGCCGATCTTTTACACTGAATTATCAATCTAACCTATGGTAAGCAGCCTGAAGGCGACTTACTTTTAAACAATGTTTCTGGACTCTATTAGCTATTGTGAAACTGTATCAGTTATACGCATCTGCAGGACTGCACAAATAATATTTTGCCCAAATGTATTTTAGTTTGGCTGTCATCCCTAATCAGCCGGCGATGGCTGATTTTATTTCAGCTGCTCTTTTGGAAAGAGAAGTTTGATGTTATTGGAATGAGCTTTGTTACTGTCTTGGGGAGGTGGGTTAAGGTAAATCAACAGATGTGTTATTGGTTTCAAAACTGTGCTTTCCAAAAGTGAAATGTCTGGAATGGTGTTATTAGCAGACATACTGTAGATAGTCCTACATG